TCAGTCTTACAAATATTTGTTTCTTCTAACTCTTCAGCATGGACAAAATAAATAGCATCTGGCCTCTTGTCTGGCTCTAATAATCCATTTCTCTTAAATAGAAGTATATTCATAACAAAGGGAGGCCCTTCATAGTTGGTAACAAAAGTAGGTACCTTTAAAATCCTAAAAGAATTCAAAGAGCTAGGGAGTATCAGCGATGCCATGAGAAAATGTTTTACAAAACAAAGTAAGTCTTCAATTCACATAAAAGAAATATATTTACTTAGGTAAGGGATTTTTAGAAAAACAAAATACTCGCCAAAGGTAAATGCCATAAGACATGGTAGCAATAGATTCCAGACTCTGAGAGGAGAAGACATGAATATAGAATAATATTCAGAGCCAAAAGCAGTCACCAGGGCAACAACAACAAATGCTGCATAATTGTAAGACTATTTGCATATATGAGCAATCGAAACTATAAAGAGTGATTTCTTCTTTTGCCAAGTTTTTAAGAATCTAGAAAGTAAATTTTAAATCTTTTTGTTGTTGTTCTTTGGAAAGGTCTCCATGTGAGATACCTTATAAATGACATCTAATTAAGAGCTAAATTACCTTTAATGAGAATGATAAATAAGATTTCCTTTCCAGACCGTCTTACTTCCAGAAGTAAGTTGCATAGTGTCAAAGCAAAAATTTCACTGAACAAATTAAACAGGCAATGAGTGCTTTATTCAAGGCCATTGTGACAGGCCAGAGAGGTCAGAACTCAGTCTGAGTTAAACTCTAAGAGCTGAGACTTGTTAAGAGCTAGAGTTGAGAGCAGGAGGATCACAGGCCTCCTCTGTGTGCTCATGGGCTTGATTCGGAGGAAGAGCAAACCTCTTCATATCTTTGTGACAAGAGTTACTTTACAACTTGGAGCGAGGGGCCCACCTACTTTAGGCTCCTACCCTCCTGCAAAGACATGGGCACTAACTTCTTCCAGGATTACCCTTCAAAGTGTGGTTTCCAGGTCCTTGAGAAACACATTTCAGGGCTGTGAAACTGGCAACAGGCCTTTAGAAAAATTTACATCTCAAGGAGCAGGGAAAGAAGTCTTTTAAGGTAAATAAGAGAAAGGAAATTAGGCTCTCCAGTCAGGAAGAAGCTTGTCTAAATGTTAGTCAAGCTAAGGGGAACTTTAAGGCTATCTTGGTCAATATCACCCATTAAGAAAATAAAAACAGAAAGAAAAAAATTCCAAAAGTTGACTTTCAAACATCTGTAAGCCTGTTTACAATTTTTTAGCTTTATTGAAGTATAGCTGACAATTAAAAATTACAAAAGCAATTCATGTAACCAAAATGGCTGTATTCCAGTAATACTCTGAAATTACAAAAAAAGAAAACATTATATATATTTAAGGTGTACAACTTGGTGATTTGATATAGTTATACATTGTAAAATAGCCATTGCAATCAAGCTGATTATAATGCCCATCAACTCATATATACCATTTTCTTTTTCTTTTTTCCTTTTTTTTCTTTTCTTTTTGATAGTAAGAACACTAAAATCTATCCTCTTAGAAAATTTCAAATATACAATATTGGTCACTATATCGCATTGCCATACATTAGAGCCCCAGAAACTTCTCAACTTGCATAACTGACACTTTGTACCCTTTGACCAACACTTCCCTATTTCCCCCCTTAAGCTTGACTAACATTTAGACAAGCTTCTTCCTGACTGGAGAGCTATATTCTCCTTTCTCTATTTACTTAAAAGACTTCTTTCCCTGCTCCTTGAGATGTAAATTTTTCTAAAGGCCTGTTGCCAGTTTCACAGCCCTGAAATGTGTTTCTCAAGGACCTGGAAACCACACTTTGAAGGTAATCCTGGAAGAAGTTAGTGCCCATGTCTTTGCAGGAGGGTAGGAGCCTAAAGTAGGTGGGCCCCTCGCCTCCAAGTTGTAAAGTATCTTGTCACAAAGATATGAAGAGGTTTGCTCTTCTCCGAATCAAGCCCATGAGCACACAGAGAGGCCTGTGATCCCCCTGCTCTCAACTCTAGCTCTTAACAAGTCTCAGCTCTTAGAGTTTAACTCAGACTGAGTTCTGACCCTCTGGCCTGTCACAATGCCTTGAATAAAGCACTCATTGCCTGTTTAATTTGTTCAGTGAAATTTTGCTTTGACACTATGCACTTACTTCTGGAAGTAAGACGGTCTGGAAAGGAAATCTTATTTATCATTCTCATTAAAGGTAATTTGCTCTTAATTAG